TAACAATTACTGTACAGTACTAATAAGCTTTTTTAAATATTTACAATAAAGAAGGCCTTGTTAAAACAATGGAATTTTGTACACTAATTTATACTCTTTATTGAAGTTTATTCTTCATATAAGCGGGGATCTAATACCATAAATTCCCATTTATTATCCGGGATCTATTTACTAAATTCATTTAAAAATTCCTACATTTAAATGATATATTGCGTAGACAGTTATGTAAAAATATATTCTGATTATCTTACATCCCGATCTTCAATTGATAAAAACCTGTCAATGTAATGAAATGTAACACTTTTATTACAGTAGATTTAAAATAATAATAAAATAAAATTTATTTTCACTATATTTTTTTACGAAATAACACTGAAAATATTTCATAGATATGAAAACACGTGTGTACTTTGCGAATTTATTTTATTTTTAAGTAGATAATTCCCAAGTTATAAGGGTGTTGACAAGTCTTGTCGGATTAATCTCATATAAGCACTTCACAAACAATACTCGGATCCAGGGGTGTGCCCGCTTTACTATAGAAACGTCTCTAGAAATAAAAATAGACAAGTCTTAAAAATCTGTCGTTTTGAAAGCATTCTAAATGTCTAATTTTTAACGGTGTAGCCATTTTTTAAAACTACTAGAAAGTTCGTAGCCGTTAGGCATATATTAACCACCCACAACAATAAACTTTTGTTAGCTGCTAGACTAATTAATAAGAATGTAGTTGGGTGGGAAAAGGTGTGCCGTTGCCTCGAGTAATCGAGTCTACCTGGAATTTAGAACATCGCAATCAAATAGGGGGAAAAAAAAGATGGATACAATGTGTTGGAATGCATTTTAAAGCGAATATGATACTTTGAGATGAAACAATTTACGCTTGTAAGAAACGAAAACAAAAATTAATTGCCATTTATGAGATGTAAATCGAATAATCTGTGGAAAAATTCAAATAAAAAATTAAAAAAAAAACAAGAAAAGAAATGCGTTAATACACTACATCATACATGAAAATCAAAGATTTTTACTTGTAAGGATATCAATAATTCTTTTTCATTATAAGTGTCAAAAAAATCAAGCTTAAATGTCGTCAGTTCTAATTAAAAAATTAAAAAAAAAACACTAAACTAAAACTACATATTTACAATTTAAGGACTCCTTTTATTGGTGTGGTATGCCTCGAGAATTGAAGTAGACTTGTTGTGTGCTAAACAGGACAATTTCTTAAATAGCTGTCGTGTGTATGTGCATGTATATGTTCTACGTCACCTCGTGACGTAAAAAACAAGGGCAAAATATTAAGATCTTTAAGCTCCTTTCGATTCTTTTGTTGTTCCTTCAAGTGTCTTCACCATTCGAAGGATTTGTCTTCATTTTCCTGACGTTAGAGTCCACACAACGAAAATGATTTATATATATATATATATATACATATTATATATATATATAAATACTCGTGAAGCATGCCCATAAAATACAGCAAAAATTTTGAAAAAATTAATTAAGTACCCCCAAAAATTGAAGGAAATCTTTCATGTGCTGAATGTATCTCGCTATATCTATATGTTCTATGTATATATATATATGTACTGTACACATATATATATACAAATATATCGGTGTTTAATGGTATTATATGGGCTTACTAATCGAAAAAATCTGGTGTTACTATTGTTTTTTTTTTTCGTTTCGTAAGCTAACATTATGATATATATGTGTATATTTATTAATATTATTTTTTCTTCATGACAGGGGTGAGATTCGCTTCAATATTATTAAATATGGTTATATATATATATTTATAAAATATAACTGAACTGGTTATAATTAAGGTGAGTTTNAAAGAAAAAAAAAAAAATGATTAGTGGTCTATCCGTGAAAAGCATTTTTAATATTCCTAGTATAAAAGAAATAGTAAAAAAGATTCTGTTTCGGAAAATCATATTGAAGACCATCAAAATTCCACGTTGAAGACCATGAAAAATCTTTTTTGATGTCTTCAATTTCATGTTTTTTTTTTTCCTAAAAATTAAAAGAATTTCCTTTCAGTTTTCATCTGTGGTTTCAATTTAAAATATAGATTTATATTATAATTTATATATAAATAAGTTAATACCATCATATAATAATTTTATATTTATAAAAAAGTTTATATATTATTTTCACTAATAAGGAATAAATCATGCATTACTTGCTAATATCAGCAATTTCCAAATGAGATGAATGCTTACAATAAAAATAAAACCTTACAAAAGCTAAAAAAAATAATAATATAAGAATATCTTAGTTTTGTTGTTATAATAATATTTTTAAAAATTTTGTCTATCAATAAATATATTTTCATGGAATTATATTTAGGAGATTTTATGAGAAATTCTAGCTTTGTAACTATCTATTATTAATCTATAAAGATTAAAATTTAATTTAATTTTAACACATGATTTTATCATAATAATGAATAATATTTCTCTGGATCATATATAAAATCTGTGAAATCTAATCTTCATATAAAGTGATTTTTTTAAGCTAACATTCAATATATTTTTGTATATTATAATTAAGTATTAAAATTCTGTCATTAATATAATTAAATTAAATTTTAACTAGAAAAACAGTGGCAAATAATGTATATAATCAATAATAGTCTGATGTTATTTGTATGAAACTTTTACCATTTTAATAAAGCCTTTTGCATTTCATGTCTGAACGTCTCAGATAATTGAAATTGTATAGAAATTTTACATTCTTTTATATCTTTTCAATAATAAAAAAAGAAACATTTTTCGTTTTATTAAAATTTTAAAGGTCAAAAGGACAAGAATATTGAAGTTTTATTTAATTTTTATTTCCCTTTTCTTATTTTACCAATAAGCATATATCATTATGATTGATCATAAATGTCTATACTTTAATATTATATATATATTGAAGAAAAAAAAAGAAAGAATCTGTTTTGAATTGCCTTTATATCTAATAATTCCATCCGGGACTGACATATATTACATCCTGTTCGAAGCTATTACATCAAAAACTGTAGTTTGTTTAAAACGTTGCGTGCATGGCAAAGAACTTCCTTTAGACAGCATGCAAGACATAGAACGATCATCGTTGATCTATGCTGTTTAATCATCAAACCGACCGAATTCAAGAATTTTTCTTGAATATCTACTTTACTACTACGGTAATCGAGAGATAATTATCCGTAATTACCTATAAAATGTAACCAGGCGGGATCTGCAAAAGATATCGAATGACCGTGAACGACGACATAATTGCACATTTCTACAACGAATCGTTTGAATTCCTTTCATATAATAAATCTTACCAATAGCTTTTTTTTTTCTTTGGTTCAATAAGCAATCGATAGATTATTATGGTTATTTATTTATTTCTTTTTATTATTGAAAATAAAAATATGGATAAGAAAATAACATGAAAATCGTATATAGAAATTGTAATAGTTTTGTATTTTATAAGTACCATAAAATACAAATCGACCCCCCTATAACACTGTTGATTATTCCATTTTATATGAATTCCATGTTGTACGAGTCACTTAAATTTTACAAATATGTGAGCCGTTCACAGCCCAGCACATGTATTTGTAAAATCTAAGTGACTCGTACAACATGGAATTCATATAAAACAGAATAATCAACAGTGTTATAGGGGGGTCAACTGGTACCATGAAATTTAAATGAATATTAATTTAATAAATTTAAAATTTTATAAAAAAAAATAATAAAGTTTTATTTTATTTATTATCTAATACATAAAAATTTTTATATAAATTTTTTGTTCTTCTTTTAAAATAATAAACCAGGAAAGCTTTACAAATGAAAATAATAGATGGAATTATAATCACTTCAATGACAATTGTATATTCCTTATAAAGAAATAAATATAATATTTCTAACGAGAGTAAAACATGAAAACCAATACGTATTTTAAAAACTCATCACACAAGGAATTTTGAAATAAGCATACATTATAGATCCATATGAAAGTCTATCTAAAAGAGCTATACATAGATAAATTATTTAAGAACAATTGCCAATTATATTAGAAAGTTAGTTAGTTAATAAAAATCAAGACTTTATTAAGCTAATTTCTAATTTTTATCATAGTTTATATTCATTTATAAATTATTATAAGATAATTTAGATGTTCTACATGAAAAATTTTCATGATATATCAATGAATTCCTACATTAAACTCGATAATCAATCCTTTATAACGTTTAATAATATGTACTGTACAGTACAGTCGACCCCCCTATAACACTGTTGATTATTCCGTTTTATATGAATTCCATGTTGTATGAGCCACTCATACAAATTACAAATACGTGAGCCCGGCACACGTATTTGTAAAATCTAAGTGACTCGTACAACATGGAATTCATATAAAACGGAATAATCAACAGTGTTATAGGGAGGTCGATTGTATTTTCAACAAGTTTAACATATAATTTTGTATATAAAATATATTAAGATTCTCCAAATTTATAATATTATATAACAATTTATTAAATAATTATATAAATTATTTAATTACTAAGATCTTACTAAGTATTAGAATTAAATCATAAGAGTAATCATTAGATGTTCTAAATGAAACGATCCATCATATATATATTTTTTCTTTTTTAAGCTTTATTCATCTAGTTATGGGTCATTGTGAGAATAATTTATAAAAGTTGTTACAGTTCCACCTCTGCATCATATTTAAAAAAGTTAAAAACTTGCGTAAGTAGAAGCTTTACTACAATGGAATAAGTATCCACACTGAATACTAATTGTAAGACAGATGAGCAGCTTCCTTTCTTACATAAGATTACCGGGGAGGGTCAACGATATAATACGTTAAAGGGGGGGAAGAGAAATCCATAGAACGGAGAAAGGATATCAATATGCAATGATTCACGAGTGACGAGTTATTCGGTACAATCGAATTACGTCGCATATAATAGCGTAAAAGTGGGAACCCAACTGTTGCACGTTGCCAGACTCTTTCCAGGAAGTAGTTCGCCACCCCATTAGTGGCGCCGTCTATAGCTTACTAGTAACAGCACGACTACTTCCGACGAGTATAAATAAAGCTGTGAACGCGGGACAGTCAACAACGTTATCGAACAATGGAAGAGAAGTCGCTAGTGGACAAAAGAGTGTCTCCAAAAATCGCATCTAGAAACGGTGAATGGATCGAGATGGACGGAAAAGGATCGAAGAGCGATCCTAAACAATCGAGGTTCCAGGTAGCTAAGGTCGATTTCGTTAACGAAACAACACCTTTAACACATGCCAGTCGAGATGACGGGGATGGTGAGAAGACAAACGGATCCGAAAATGGAAGAGGGCAATCTCCTACTCATCATTCTACCTATAACACTTATGACACTCACAATATTCAAAGTCTTCGACATTATACTAGAGAAGCCTTACCTAGACTAGATCATTACAGGAACATCATGTCAGTTCACGGGCATCTTAATCGTCCTACTCTAGATGAACTTCATAATGCCACCCTCACTATGTCTCAGGATAACAAGGTTTGTTCATTTTGTATTCTTCACACCTATAGTCCTCGAAATACGTGTATATAACACTACATCTCTATCCGGTTATCATGTTTACCTATTGATAACGTTCCATAAATGTTACAACTGATATAGAAATTTTTTGTATATTTTATTGTAATTTATAAAAATTTACTCTTATAATAACTGAAATCTATTTCTATAATATTTTATTAATTAACTATTGTTTGGTTTTAAGGTATAATAGGACTAGATTTACGGCATTTAAAAGCGCTGTAAATTTAAATAAATCATAATTAAGTTAATTATTAATTTAATTAATTTTTTTTCTACTATTGTTTTAAATAAGTTTTATTAAATATTTTTTTAAATATATTTTTAAATTTCACTCACGAAGTGATGTTAAGTATACGTGCATTTACGAATATAAATTTAAAAAAAAAATATAACTCTTTTTAGAATATATTTTTTAAATTTATAATTATATAATTGATTTTACTTTAATTTAAAAAATAAAAATGTAACGCGACATTTAATAAATAACACTGTAAAGATTTAATGTTTCGAATCTCCTACCCAAAAGACTGAATGGACAGTTCTGTATATTATAGAGTAAATTGGTTGTTAGAAAAGAAAAGATAAATTACCTTATAATGTCACAGCTGTCCACTCGAAAGGTCATTCTGGGTCACTTAAAATCTTTTTGTTTTTCTCATTTCTCTAACAAAGGAATCGTCTACACAGTGGTGCGGATCACAGGTTATTTACACTGGTTCGGATCAGGTTTACAGATTTACTGGTTTTTACCTACACCCGACAGTCGAGTCACTATTTACTTTAATAATATTTAATCTCGAAAAAAAAATTTAACAAATTTTATATAAAAATAAATATTTTTCTACAATATATTCCAGTTAAATTCATGTTTTCGAGTTATTTACGGACGATATACACATTGCCAAATGTCAACTCAGCAATGACTTTTATTTTTTTCTTTCTTTTATTAAAAAAAGGACTCGTTGAAATGTAATTATTTGTATTTAATTGATAATTAAGTATTTTATAATTAATTAACTTTCATTTTTTTTCATTATGTAATTAAATAAAATTGCGAATTTTTTTTTTAAGATATAACTGGGATTTCTGTACATAACTCTTTAATTACTTAATGCATGTTATTACAAAATAACACACAAGATTTCATTTAGTTAATGTTTTCATTCCAAAAATTATAAATAAATGTTTAAATATTTAATCGAAATTATGAATACATCATGTAGTTTTTGGTAAAACAAAAATACTACAACGTAAATAAATGACAAATGACATTTTTTTTAATTAAGAAACAAAGGATGGTGAGTAATAAATTCTGTTATTTTAAAATTAAACAATTTTTCATTCAAGAAAGTATTCAAATATTTTAATAAAACTATGAAATATTTAACAGATAATAAATTTAAAAAGGTATACCGTGTTTTAGTACTGTATGAACCTAAATTTAACTGAACGTACTGGATCTCAAGCTAAAATACAAGTCGACCCCCCTATAACACTGTTGATTATTCCGTTTTATATGAATTCCATGTTGTACGAGTCACTTAGATTTTACAAATACGTGAGCAGTTCACAGCCTGGCACACGTATTTGTAAAATCTAAGTGACTCGTACAACATGGAATTCATATAAAACGGA